GTTTTGCCACTGCAGAAGAGGTGTAACAAAAAGGCAGGAGCACTAAAAGACATAAAAATTGGTAAGTTCAAAGAGACATAAAATGGTGATATTTATTCTAGTTTTCATGCACTTGTCCGATAAAAATTAGCTATAAGGACATGTCAAAGGTGACACAGTTAGAAATGAAAATCTAAAATTACAGTAGCATTGTGACTTTATTCAGTAGTTTATTATAGTGTGATTTTCAAACTTTGACTATGTAAGGGAAGAATGTTGAAAATAACTCCTTAAGAATGTAGACGTGATTAAATTATTTCATACTAAAATCTGCATATGATTCTTGCACAATATTGAGGATAGATCACTTTCTAATGACATTATTCTAGTAATATGTAATAGAAAAAATCTTAAAAGATATGCCGATAAATATTAATGTATAATTTGCTTATGGAATTTTATATAGATTGTATATTGAACTGGCACTCTCTATCCCCATTTTAATTTCACTAACACCAGCAAAATCTTTTTAATAATCTAAACACAACTTCTAGACTGGGAGGGGCTGCAATTCATTTTTTGATTCAATTCCAAAGTTCCTTTCAGAGTAATAAAAACATTTTCTAAGGAAAAAAAAAATTGGTAAGTTCAAAAACTGTTTTGAGCAGTGGAAACATCATCTCGATAGGTGTGTTGCATCAAATGGAGAGTACTTTGAAGGTGACTGAAGTTTAAACACATGAGAACAAATACACAATTTTTTATAAATACATCCCGGGGTTTTTTGGGTCCTCCTTCATATAATTTTTCATCATAGCCACCAATACTATTGAACTAAAGTTCGGAAATTAAAGTGCTGGAGTGATGAGTCCTCAAGCTTTGTTCACTGTCCAGGGTCTTCCTGGGATATGCTTTCCTTCTTGACACCTCCAGAAATGCTTATTATTCTCCTTACTTTCTTTCCCCACTATTCTCTTCTCCCTATTTCTTCTTTCCTATAAGAACTTTCTGTCCATATTCACACAGCTGACTGAGAGGGAAATGTTGGCCATGGCTCTTTCTTCACAAATTAAATGTCTTTCACATTTGTCTCTGGCTAGTGGTCTCTCACTAGATGCAGGTGAGTGTGCCTCTCTTATCTCCTGAACCAGTGCCTGTGTTAACACTGTCAGTTCAGTTTCACCTTTGACTACACTGTAGGGTAGAGAGGTGAGGGTTGTGGCTTTTCAGGGACAAGCTGAAAGAACTCAATAGATCTAGACACCCAGGTTTCTAACCTTAGAGGAAGTGTGTCAACTCTGACATGGGAGGAATGGAAAATATTATGGGTGGCAGTGTAGGTGGTGGTAGCATTACTGCAGTGATGGGAACTGATTGGGTAGCCAAATACCGATGATTGTAACCCAGTCTAACTTTTTCTTGTAGCTGGAAGGTGTGGCAGGTATTCAGAAAGAGCCTTTCTAGGGATGCATAATCTAGTGATTTATTTTCTTTTAATAGCTTAATGTAAAAATGGACAATTATTATATTATACAAACTATGTTTTGAAATGTAGTATATTAATAAAATAGTTGAGGTACAGCCAACAGATCAGGAGATGACTACCACTGATAAGAGGGTTTGTTACTCACAGTTCCCAAGAGGCAGAGGCATATCACACTAGGGGAGGCCACAGGAAAGCACGAAGGGCAGGTAAGAAGCAGAGGGAGAGGGAAAGACTGTAGGCAAGAGTCCTTATTGGGGTTTCTGAGGAAAGAAAGAGGCACAACGGGGTAATCAACCTTAGAATTGGCTAGCGTAACTGATTTCCGTGGGTTCTGGGGCACGGGGACTGTCCCTAGTTGTCTGATACCTAGCTCTGGGCTATTAGGGCAGGTGGATAGTAGCCTGGAATGTGACAGCAAGGTAAAGGAGGTAGTTGCTGTGTGGGGTCTGGATTGGTTGGTTGTCATTGGAAATGTGTGCACAAAGGGGAGTCACTTATTAGTACTAAGAATTGACTAATCCTGGGACAGGTAGGTCCCTTCAAGGTCAGCAAGGCTCTAAGAGGTCAAAGGATCAGAATACAGAAAATAAAAGACATGGTTGATACATACTACCATATTAATTTAAAAACTAAAGGTAAAGTATAAACTCCACAATCTATAGAAGACTTTCATCTTAAAGCATTTTTGACCGAATGACCATTCATACCTAATAGTCCCACATGGTGGCAAGTTAATAGCCCTATGATCTCGGTTTAACATGGCAGTAAGAGGAAAAGTAGAAAAGAGGCTCAAATTCTACACAATTGTCATTGTTTTAGTGAGAAAAAGAAGGTTAGAAACTAGAAGTTACAGAATAGCGATTTCCCCCCCAGTTTCTCTTTTTTTACTTTTTTGAAAAATTACTTTTTAGGAACATTTGGTATGATGTACATAAAATTACTTACTCATTATGGGCAAAATGATACAAGTAGCATCTTTATTGGACATCATTTACCTCAGATATTCAACCAGCAGTACTTTTTTTTTGAAAGCAGGATTTATTGAGAGTACAGAAAGCTCCCACGGTGGGAGGGGACCCGAAGGGGTTGCCCAGCAGTATTATTATGCAGTCTCAACCCATATCACATTTGTTACCTCCTTTATTCTATATTTCTTGTCAGTGTTTTGGGCACAGGTTGCAATTTGTTAAAAGTTATTTTTCCTATAGGCATTTCTTTTTTTTTTTTTTGAGTTGGAGTCTCACTCTGTCGCCCAGACTGAAGTGCAGTGGCCATTCCTGGCCACCGCAGCCTCAACCTGCTGGGCTCTGGCAATTCTTCCGCTTCAGCCTTCCGAGTAGCCAGAATTACAGGCATGTGCTACCACGCCTGGCTAATTTTTTTTGGATTTATTGTAGAGATGAGGTCTTGCCAAGTTGCCCAGGCGGGTCTCGAACCTGTGGGCTCAGGCAATCCACTCACCTTAGCCTCCCAAGGCTCAGGATTACAGGCCGAGCCACCAAGCCGGGCCCTATAGGCATTTCAATGCAAAGGTACTGATTTTTTTTTTTTTTTTTGAGTTGGAATTTCACTCTGTCACCCAGGCTGGAGTGCAATGGCATGCTCACAGGCAGCTGCTAGGCTCAGGTAATCCCCTGCCTCAGCCTTCCAAGTAGCTGGAACTGCAGGCTCATGCTACCACACCCAACTAATTTTTTGATTTATTGTAGAGACGAGGTCTCACCAATTTGCCCAGGCTGGTCTTGAACCCCAGAGCTCAGTCAATCCTCTCACCTTGGCCTCCCAAAGTGCTGGGATTAAAGGCTTGAGCCACTGCACCTGGCCAAGGTACTGCTTTTATTGTAAGTGCAGAGCTGAACAACCAAAAATACCATTGGGCAAAACCAATATTTGATAATATCAGGTTTTTGGTTTAAAAAAAAAGATTTTTCTTTTCCTATCATGACCGCTACTCTCCTTGTACATACTTTTCATGTTTTTCACATTTATCCCTCAATATTATGACAAAGAAAACAGAAACATTTTTAAACAAAATAATTGGGTTACTCAGTCAATGGTCTTTTTTTGTTTTTTGCTTGTTTGTTAGTTTTTTGAGTCAGTGTCTCACTCTTGCCTAGGCTGGAGTTTAGTGGCATGATAATGACTCACTGCTGTCTCTACCACTTGGGCTCAGGCGATCCTCCTGCCTCAGGCTTTTGAGTAGCTGGGACTACAGGCATGAGTCACCACTCCTGGCTAATTTTTTAATTTTTTGTAGAGACGAAGTCTCGCTATGTTGCCTAGGCTGGTCTTGAACTCCTGGGCTCAAGTAATCCTCCTGCCTTGGTCTCCTAAAGTGCTGAAATTACAGGTGTAAGCCATTGTGCCTGGTCAATGGCATTTTTCTTTTAAAGCAGATAATGTTAATTCTTTATTACTATGTTGTTGTATAAAGAGGTAGATGATCTTATTCACCAGGAAACACTCCTATAAGAAGGATACTAATTACCAAGGAACTCAATGAGGCATAGGATTTCATCAGGGTAAGGAGGAACCAGGAGAGAAGACAGAAAGAGAAGACCTTGGAAGGAAAAGTGTCTGGTAGAGTTTCAGGGTGGAATTGAGAGTTAGAAGAGGTTGAGAGGCATAGGCGCCATTGAGGAATTTGAAAAAACAGGAAGAAGAGGAAGTGAAACATCTTCATTGGTCTTTACAAATAATATATGGAATTATTTTCAATTACTTTTGTTTGCTGGACTTATTTTTTCTATGAATTTGTAATCCTCCTAGAACTGGAATACGTGGATTATAAGCTATAATAGTCTTATGGCTGTAAGAACACTGGTATGGCAATTGCAAATTTTGCTTCTTAATTAACTGACTGTTTTAACCCAAAAGTAATAGTTTTCCATGTTTGTCATTTAATGTTGTGATAAATTAACACAAACACTTTAAAATTAAAGTAACTGTGTTGCTCACCCAACATGTTTTTTAAAGAAAAGGTGTTAATTCTTTACTACCATGTTGTTGTATAAGGAGATGAGAAATTTTCTTCACAAGGAAATTCTCATTTAAAACTAGAATATTCACTTGCTATGTTGTGTCCATAACTTCTACAATATTGTACTTCTGAAACTAAAGGAAGTTTCTTTGATTCATATGATGACTTTTTTTCTGTATTGAATTGGGAAATGACCGTTTATTTGGAGATAAATGAACATTTCCTTTTTGTGTGTTCACAGTGTTTTTTTTCTGATTATCATTACTATTTCTATTATGTCTAGCATTGTTGTATTCTTTTAGTGGCTTGTAATATGGATAAACAAATTAGATCATACTTTGCTTGTGTTTTTTCCCTCTTAGTCAACATGTTTACCATAGAGTTCAGAAATATTTGTGTACCTTCTACTTCAGATGTATAATTTAAAAAAGCATATGGAATCTGAAATAATTATTGTATTTTGCAAATATAACTCATGTGGACATAAAGTATTCATATAACTATAGTTATTTGATATTTGTGAACCTGGATAACACATTTCTTTTCAAATTTGACTCTGTTTTGTCTTATTTGGCAGTTGTTCATCAAAGGAGATCTCTGTGAAGTAGTCACTGTAGGCATCAGACATTAGGTAGGCATTAAATGAGGCATCTCTTCTAATGAACTGCAGGAATGCTTGAAGTCTGTGGGAAGAGAAGGAAAAAGAAAAAGCACCAGCCCTTTTCCCAGATGGAGGGTGTGACTGGCCAGAGTTGCCATCATAGAGCTGGCGGTAAGACAAGGTGCCATCTGCCGTGGCAGTTCAGCTCTGGCCTTTTCCCAGAAAAGCAACATCAGTGCCATAGTTTCCTGTGAAATTGGAGAAGATAATTATACTTCAAAACTTTTTTTCTGTTCTCTCAAAGATGTTGACTTTGGTTATATAGGTAAGAATATGTACTGATAAAACTGAGGAATTATGTGATGAAGTTTCACTTGAACACGGGCATTAAGTTCTGCAGCCACATTGGCTGAGTTTGAGACCTGATTCTGTCACTTACCAGGCCTATGACTAGGCAAGTTACCAATCCTTCGGTGCCTCAGTTTCTCATCTGTAAAATGAGCATGGTAAGAGTATCTACTGCACAACTGTGAAAAATAAATGAAATAGTCGTGGCTAAAGCACTTACAGCACAGAGTGAACATTCAATACATGCAATTACCATCATCATCAATATGATGATGCTTTGAAGATATTTATCTTGATATACATATACTCAGTGAAGTGATTACTACAGTCAAGCAAATTAGCATATCCATCATCTCATCTAGTTACCTTTCTTTTGTGTGTGTGTTTGGGTGTAAGCATACTTAAAATCTACTCTTTTGGCAACTTACTCATGTGCAATATGATAGTATGGACTATAGTCCCCATGTTGTGTATTAGATCTTTAGGCTTATTCGCCCTATGTAACTGATTTATGCAAATGTTTAGACAAAGATACTAGGAGAAGAAGATTTGGATGATATTTCATTCTTTCTATAATTACAGAAGGGTTGATCAATGTTTTGACACAATCATTCTGAAAAAGATAATTCATTACGGGCTAAAAAAGCCATTTGACTTTCAACTTTCTAAAATTACCAAATCACATGTCTAAGAGATATTGCCACCTCTCCTGGCCTCATCCCATTCTTGGCTCTCACCTCTCCTTCATCCTTCATCAGGCAAGAGGATTGCCTAAGCCTGGGGGTTCGAGATCAGCCTGGGCAACATGGTGACACCTCGTCTCTACAGTAAATCAAAAAACTAGCCGGGCATGGTAGCATGCTTCTGTAGTTCTGGCTACTTGGAAGGCTGAGGCGGAAGGATCACCTAAGCCCAGCAGGTCGAGGCTGCGGTGGCTGCGATCATGGCACTGCACTTCTGCCTGGGCAACAAGAGGGAGACTCCAACTCTCACACACACACAAAAATTTTATATTTTTATTTACTATAATTTTTGGAATTGTGATAAAATACACATAACATAAATTTGGCATGTTAAATTGTGGTAAAATACACATAACATACATTTGACATGTTAAATTGTGGTAAAATGCACATAAAATAAATTTACCAGTTCAGTGCTGTGAAGTACATTCATACTGTTGGTTGTACAAACACCACTATTCATTCATTCATAGAGCTATTTTCATCTTGACAAACTGAAACACTGGACCCATTAAATAATGATTCTCCATCCCCTTTTTCCTCAGGTCTGTCCACTACCATTTTATTTTTTGTCTCTATGAATTTAACTATTCTAGTTACCTCATATAAGTGGAATCACACAGCATTTGTCTTTTTATGGCTGGCTTACTTCACTGAGCATTATGCTTTCAAGGTTCATCTGCACTGTGGCATGTGTCAGAATTTCCTTCCTTTTTTATGCTGAATAATATTCCACTGTATATATAGGCACCACATTTCATTAGTCATTTATTTATTGATGAGCACTTGGGTTGCTTCCACCTTTGGGCTGTTGTGAATAATACTGCTATGAAAATGGATACACACATATCTCTTCAAGACCCTGCCTTCATTTATTTTGGGAGTATACCCAGAAGTGCAATTGCTAGATCATATGACAATTTTATCTTTAATATTTCAGGGAACCATCATACTGTTTTCCATAATGACTACCCCGTTTCACATTCTCACAGTGCATAGAGTCCAAATTTCTCCACATCCTCCTAATACTTACTCTTTCTGGTTCTGACAGTGGCCATCCTAATAGGTGGGAGGCATTTCTTCTGCTTTAACTACAAGGATGTGAGAACTTTGATCACTTGGAAGCAGACACCTGGGAGAGCTTCTGAGTAAAGGAAGCCAATAGCTCTTGGCAGTCACAAAAACAGGACACAAAATATATTGAGCTAGAAAATGCATTGTTATGCAGAAGTTCATTGGAATCACATAAAACCATTTATTGTGCTTTAATAGACTCACTCAGGATAAGTAGGAAAACAAAGCCTCTTCAGTTATGGTGCTATGATAGGTATGAAGAAAAACTGTGTACTTTTTTGTTTTGCTTCAGAGGTTCTGCAAGAAATACAAAGTAGTGAAGAGATATCTGGGAGAGACAGCTGGTGGGGCGAATGTGGCATGAGCAATTAAAATTGCTATGAGTTACACTTTGGTGAAATGCTTCCTTGAACAAGCCTATCTATAATTCTCATTCATGCTTATCAGGGTTCTTTAAGACAGTGGAAAAAGAAATCCAATGTGGCAGCATATCCAAGGTGGGGTCTTGGGGCTCAGCCGACTCCAGTGGTGTTGGCTTTGGTCTTTATCTCTGCTTCTGGTGAGGATGACTCCAGAGATGTTTTAACCTTGTGTCTATGCTTGAAGCTCATTCTTTCTGCACAAGTGGAAGCAATTTCTACTGTATAGGAAAGGTTCATTTCCCCCCCCCCCCCCACGAAGCCCCTACATCTTGTTTTAGCAGTGCTCAACAATTGGGAACAAATTTATTGTCATCCAGTTGAGGCAGTTAAGCTGGAACTTCACACCAGTTCTTGTGAAGGAGGAGGCTCACATGTGATGTGTTTACTCTGGTGACAACTTAAGGTATTAAACTTCTCCTAACTTTTCTCCTACAATATTCAACTTTCTCTTTCCCTGATCACCAGAGGTTAGGCACCAGAGTGACTCTTATGGGCTGATTTGTTATATTCATATGTTGGAATACCAACCCCCAGTATCTCAGAATGGAGCCTTATTTGGAGACAGGTCTTTACAAAGGTGATTGAGGTAAAATGACACCATTAGGGTGGGCCCTAATCCAATATTACTCTTGAGTTTATGAAAGAGAGAGAGAGAGAGACACCAGGGGCGCTGGGGCACAGAGAAAAAAAAACCATGTGAGAACACACAGAGCAGGCAGGCTTCTACAAGCCAAGGAAAGAGGTGTTGGAGGAAACCAATCCTGCCAGCACCTTGGTCTTGGACTTTGTCCCCAGAGTGTGAGGAAATAAATTTGTTTCAGCCTCACGGTCTGTTTACTTGCTATGGCAGCTCAGCAAATTAAAACAAGTGAGATGGTTGAGAAAAAGAAAAATCAGTTTGCCAGTTCAGTGCTGTGAAGTACATTCCTACTGTTGGTTGTACAAACACCACTATTCATTTGGGGTGGTGTATTTGGGGGTGGGGGCGGGGCAAGGGGAGGAAAGAGGGAGAAGGGAGGGAGAGGGGAGAAAATGGGAAGGAGAGAAAAGATAAAAAGCAAACTAGGTAGAGGAGAGAGCAGGTACATTTTCTTTTGAGAGGTCACAGGGTGCAACTATTCCTTCCCTGCGCCTTTCCTTTGAACAGAGGTGTTTTCACCGGTCTCATTCCGATCAAGGAATTAATGATTACCTGCCCTAGAAGCGGGGAGGGGGAAGGTGATCCCAGGAGGGAGCGAGAACAAGAGGATCCCCAAGCCCACCCGGCCAAGCTGCTCGGCCGCGTCTGCAGCGTAATGGGGAGGCGGATGGACCTCGGAGGCAGGCGGGGCGGGGACGGTTCCTCGCCGGTTTCCGCGGGGTCTCCCGCGTTTTGCGCGGGCCGGGGTCGCTGCCGGTGACTTCGGGCAGGAGGGGTCGCGATCCGTTTGCTGGGAGGAGGACGTGGAGGGCAGCACACCGGCTGAGGGGCCCTACTCTTCTGCGGGGCGCGGGCAAAGGCCGCTAGGATCACGGGGCCCACCCCCGGGTCACACAAAGGGCCGCCGCCAGAGGTCACCAGCGGCAGGGGAGCGGCAGGGGCGGGCGACCGAGGGGCAGGGGCGTCGGGCGGAGGGGAGGGAGGCGCACCCTGCGGTGGGGCGGGGACCCCGGCTGCTGGGTGAAATCGCCGCCCGCTCGACTGGGACAGTACCTGCAAGGTCTGCAACACTCAGCTACGGGCCTTCTGTGTTCTTCCCCTTCCCGCTCCTGGAGCACCGAGTGGGAGAGAGAGCGGCCCGGGTCCAAAAAGCAAAGTCATTATCAGTTCCCGAGAAGCGGAAAACCGCTCCGCATTTGTTCTCGTGGAACGGCGAATCCTGACTCCTGAGAATCCCGAAATATTCCGCCTTGGTTCAGAGATCGCCGTTGGACAACCGTTGTGCAATCCTTTGCCACACAATCGAAAGTCTTCCTCTGAGTGTGGGTTCCGGAACGAACCCAAGCACAGCTGGGTTGTAGCCATATTAACACTAGAAAAAAAAAACCCGACTTAGAGCAGAAAGCACTACTAGACATAAAGAAGGTCATTTCGTAATGATAAAACATTCAATTTACCAGGGAGAAATAATACTGGTGGTGTGCACTTAATAACAGAGTCTCGTGATTTACCAAAGAAAATGGGCAGAACCATTAGGGAAAATAGACAAATCCATTCTCACAATGAAATATTTTAACACGCTTTTTTCAATTATAGAAGATCAAACAATTATAGAAGATTGTAAATTAATAAGGGCATGAAAGATTTCAGTAAGACGACTAATACTAGCAATACTACAACACAGCAACATTTATAAAACTTTGCATCCAAAAGTTAGAGAATATATATTACACATTTTTAGCGGTACATATGGAATATGTACGTAAATTGCCCATGAAGCCATCTCAACAAATTTCCACAATCACTTATTTGACTAGAGTGCAATTAAGGTAGAAATCAATAAGAAAAAACTTCTGTATATATCTGGGGGAAAAAAATTCTAAATACCCAGTAGATTAAAAGCATAATGAAAATTCAAAAATATTAAAAATAGAATGATAATACTACACATCAAAACTTAAAGGGTATAACCAAAGAGGTATTTAATGAGAAATTTTTAGACTTAAAATGACAAGCTAAAATTTTAGGAAGGAAATAATAAAAAGGAGAAAAATAATGAAACAGAAAACAAGGAAATAATAGTATCGACAAAGTTAAAATATAGTTCATTGGAAAGACAAACTTCTGGCAACATTAAATAAAAGGAAATCTGCAATAGACATATGATAATAAAATTGCAAAGCATCAAAGACAAAGAAATTTCTTTAAAATGTATTATCCCAAAAGAACCAAATTATACTGTCAGTGGAGTTATCAGGAGCAAAAATAGAAGCCAGAAGAGAAAGAAACAGCACATGTATTTGCTGAAGGAAAGTAGCCGGCAACCTAGAATTGTATACACAGCAAAACTTTTTCAATAAAAAAGCTGAAAGATAGAAAATTCTAGTAAATAAAAGCAGTTTGTCACCCACAGATCTTCACTAAAGGAATTTCTAAAAGACATGCCTCAAGAAGATGGAAAACAACCTCAGAAGGAAGAGACAAAGCGCAAAGAGTAAAAATGTGAAATCTCAATATTGATTGTATAAGTAAATAATAATAGTTTCTGTGTCTTAAAACAAATAAGATAGAAAGAAGTGGATGAACAACAGTTGCATGTGATACTGGAGTAAGGTGAACAGAGTAAAAGCATGCTGAGGTTTGTGTATATAGGAGGAGAATAATACTAACTTTGACTTTAGGTATGCATATTACTATCTCAAGAATAACAACTAGAGGTTAGAAATACAGTCATGTGCTCTGAGACATGTGTAGTTAGGCAATTTTGTCATTGTGTGAACATCATAGAGTGTGCTTGCTCAAACCCAGATGGGATAGTCTACTATACAGCCATGCCATATCATATAGCCTGCTACTTCTAGGCTACAAACCTACAGGGTATGTTTCTGTACTGAATATTGTAGGCAGCTTAACACAATGGGAAGCATTTCTGTATCTAAACATAGAAAAGGTACAGTAAAAATATGGAACAAAAGATAAAAAATGGTCCACTTCAATAGGGCACTTACCATGAATGAGCTTGTGGGACTGGAAGTTGCTCTGGGTGAGGCAGTGCATGAGTGGTGAATGAATGTGAAGCCCAAGGACATTAGACTACTGAAGACTTTATAAGCACTGTGCACTTAGGCTACATTAAGTTTATTAAAAATAAAGTAATTGTGCTATGATGTTATGATGGTTACGATGTCAGTAGACAATAGGAATTTTTCACCTCCATCATAATCTTATGAGATTACTATCATATATGTGGTCTGTCACTGACCCAAGTATTGTTATGAGGCACATGACTGTAGAATGTTTCAGTTTTCAAATCAAAGAAGAAAATAAATTGATAAAAACAAAAAAACAAAACAAAACTCAATTAATTCCCAGAAAGCAAAAAAAGGATAATACACACACACACACACACACACACACACACAAATAGGGCAAACAGAAAGCACCATATAAGATGGTGAAAATAATTTTTTAATATATATCAGAAATCACAATAAATGTAAATAGACTAAGCTTTCCAAACAGTATTCAAAGAACATAAAAACAAAACAAAAATACATCTATATCCTGTTTTTAGAGACACATTTAGAAGCTAAGGACAGAGAAAGATGAAAAGAATCTCTGATGGACAAAGGAAGAAAAAAGTACATTCCAGGTAACGTTCTTTACTGTTAGAGATAGAATTCTAGAGCCAGACTGAAGGCGCAATACTTCCTGCCCAAGTGCTGATTCTCCTAAATGCCATGTGCATGCCACTGCTTCTGACAAAACTGAAAGCCAGTTTTCCAGTTTCCTAGGAAATCCTAGAAATGTTGCTCTCCTTACTGGTGTTGGAGAACAGAGCTTCCTCATGCTGGGCCCCGTCACAGTTGCCATGGATCTCCTTGGTGGTTCGTCAAGAGGTATGGAAGGATGTTTTCTTCAAGTATTAAGACGTCAAGAATGACAATACACCTCAAGTGCTGAAGGGAAAGAATTGTCAACCTAGTACTGTATACCGGAGACTTGATTTTTCAAGATGGGTGATCATCTCTGTTACCCTATTTAAAATTTCACCCTTTCCTCCTCTCTTCTGCCCAACCACTTTGAATCCTTCTCTTAACTTAAATTTTTTAAATCATAGAACTTACCCTCATCTAACATACTATATAATATTTATTTATTTATTTTCATTTTAAAGATGTGAGATACAATTCAGGGTTGGGTACGTAAGAGATTATCATACAGGTAAAGTTTGGGTACCCTTATTGATGTTATGTGTTCCCCCCTAATCCCTCCCCGGCAGTGTCCCACTACTGCCAATCCCCTTCTGATAGTATTTTGATAAATGTTCACTTCCTCCTGGCCTAGTAGAATATAAGCTCCAGGAGGGCAGATATTCCCAGGAATAATACATAGAATCCCTCAATAAATGCTTCCGGGGATCAGGGTGTTTATTCACTGTTTATTCACATGATAAATACAACCAGCTTCACAGCAGGAGGCACAGTGATAAAAAATAAGATTCTTTTAAAATTCTTCCTTTCATCCAAAATTAGTACAGAATTAGATCCTTAACCAGAAGACTATGTTCGACTTCCAAGGCAACTCAAACCCTGGCTACCTCTTCCTACATCACAGTTACAGAAGGACCCTTGCACAAATAACATCGTCATTTCTTCTTTACTAGGTAGAAGTGATAGTTTGGCTTGTTGCAGGAGAGACTGTTAGAGACAAAGTTTTCAGGAACCTGACCAATTGGAGATGAACTAAAAGTGAGATGACGCATTTCTGATTGGGTCACTAACTTTTCCCCTCAAAGTGTGGTTTATACAATAACAGGTATTTCCTTGGTTTTAAATATTCTTGCTCAAATATTTAAAGTGGTTACAGAGAACAGCGACAAACAGTGATTTTAAGGCTCCAACTGGTGGAATTGCTGGCAACTCCTTAAAATTCCTTTTTCTGTTTTAGTGTATATGTGAATGTGTGTGTGTGTGTGTGTGTGTGTGTGTGTGTGTATGTGTGTGTGCACATGCGTGCGTCCACACACATGTGAAACTATATATGAGCATGTGGGCATGTGTGTGAGTGTGGAGGTATGAGTCTGTGTGAGTATGTGGGATGTGCATGTATGTGAGACTCTTCAGAATGCCTCAGGACCACCTCCCCTTCCTGAACCCCTCTAGCTCCTTAGTGCTCAGGTCACTGTGGGGATGGCCCATGCCCGCCTCCTTGTCCCTCTGAAGCCTCTGCTGCTCATTGCCACATGACCCTGCTTCCATTAATTGTCTGTGACTGTGTGCTGCCACTGCCACTGCCACTGCCCCTTTAACAGTACCACTATCTTTGTTGCCATCAACTTCATTTTTCAGGGAGCTGCTACCTGGAGTCCCTCTGCTCCAACCCAGCTGTCTGCTTGGCTGATCTGTAGGGAGGGTATTGCATTTTTCCACCTCAGGGCCACCTCTTCCTCATCCTCCCTCTGTCCTAACCCTTCCATTTTGGTCTCTTTAGGGAGATGCTCCACTCCCTCACTCCAAGTCTCTTCTTCTCTGTTTTGGAGTGATTTAATCATATATTTTCAAAAGCACAATTCCACAAAATAATGTATGAGCAGTCTCCTTAACACAACAGTTACGTTTTTATTTTATAAATTATTTTTCAATGGCTGGTATAAATCCTTCCCTCTATTATAACTTCAAAATTCAGCTGCTTAAAACAAGAAGCTTATGCTTAGTAAATGAAAACACTTTTCTCCTCTAGAGATTTCTTTTTGGCACTTATAAACCTCCCTTTGGACACTTCATTTTTCTTCCCATCCTTATGGAGCAGAGTATGTGCAGCTTTTGGAAACAATACTTACTAGTTCTGTAGTTTTGCTAGTTCTTTTCTCCTCTTAATTGCTCTTTGGATGTTCTCCAAAATGTTAGCATTTATCTCCAATTAAAAGGTGCCAAAAACATGGCCACATTTCTTCCCCTATCTTGGAGGAAGCTAACTTGCTTCCTAATTGTGCAAGTCTTCATCTAATGTTGAATACAGCCAGTCAAGCTGTGAAGGAGACAGAATCAAATTTTGAACTCCAAGAAGGACATTTTATAAGGAATACTGTACATTTCAAAATTGGAACTCACAGTCCTGTCTGTAACACAATGGTTCTCAAACTTTAGAATCATCAGGAAAGCTTATTTAAAAGGCACAAGTCTAGGCTCTTCTCATACTAGATTAGAATTTTCAGGAAGTGGAGTCTAGACAAGTCTGAGAACTGCTGCCACAAAATGTAGATAACTGAAGATACGGGGCTTATCGCTACAGAGTGGTAATCTTGAGATTACGTTTGTAGCAATTTGAATTATTCATTTCAGTAAGGGAAAGAAAGAAAGAAG